GAAAGAAAGAAAGAAAGAAAGAAAGAAAGAAAGAAAGAAAGAAAGAAAGAAAGAGTGAGAAAGAAGAAATGCCCTGAATTTTTATATTCCCTTATCTTTAGGAAAAGAAATTTATATAGCTTGAGTTTTTCTTAGTTTGGTGAAAATGTTAAAATATATCATTGCCACAGTCTGGCTGGGCACAATTCAGGAGCCGCTTGTCAAAAGAAACGAACTTTATTTTTAGAACTACACACGCCAAGCAAAACAGCTCCTCAGGAAAAACCCTCAGAGCCCAACTGCCACCACCGGCTTCCCACAAGCCTCTCCACCTTCCCCACTCCTCCTGCTCTTGAGGCTGATTGGCTGGGTTGTGTGGGCAGAGCCAAAAGAGTCCCCCAATGAGCAGCTCCGTGGTCTGAAAGGGCGGGGAAACAGCCCAATGAGCATCCCGCAGAGGAGCCAATCAGTTGGCAGCTAGAAGTTTGCTGGGGCCACTGTGAGCCAATCATCAGCTGGCAGCTGGAAGTTTGCTGGAGCCCCTTTGGCTGTGGCTCTCAACATATCATGATCTTTCTTTACTTCTTTCTAAATCAAAGAGCTGTTTAGCATTAGAATGGTTGTTGTATGAGTTATCTGTTGCAGCATAATAAGTTACCCCAAAGCTTAGCATCTTAAAACAACCAGTATCTTTTTTTTTTTTTTTTTTTTTAGGTCTACATGACAGTCAGTGGATTTTGACATATTACACATACATGGAGTCTAACTTTCGAATAATTAGGATCCCGTTCTTGTGGTTGTACCTGCTGTGGGGTTTCACGGGTCATGTGTTCATCCATGAACATGGGAAAGCGATGCCCCATTCCTTCTGTCTTTCCTACTCCCGTCCTGGCTTCCCTTGACTCACCTTTGTCTATTTTTAATCTCATAGTTTTGGGGGTCAGGAATACAGGGGTGGATTACCTAGGTGGTTCTGTCTTGGGGTCCCTCAGGAGGGGGAGGCTGGTGGAGGTCCACGGGGGTGTGGTGACCGGCCTCACTAACGTGGCCCTTGGTAGGAGGCTTCAGTTCCTCTCTCTGTGAGCCTCTCCACGTGGCTGCCCGAGTGTCCTCAGGACACGGCAGTCAGCTCTCCCCAGAGTGAGTCATGGCAGAGAGAGAAGAGACCACAGAGGGAAACCACGGTGACATTTACGAACTGGTCTCCAGGGTCTCCCACCGGGGACTTCCTTTCCCTTCCATTGTTGAAGTGAGTCACCAAGTTGTTCAGCCCCCATTCAAGGGGAGAATTGGCCTCCCCCTCTCAAAGGAAGGACTATGAGAGAATTGGGGAGCAGGCCTTGGGAGCCCATCGTTGGTCACGCCATTTCAAGTTTTTGAACATGGGGTCTTCAACAGAGGTCTCAGTGACAGCCGCGTCTCTCTATCCTGTCCCTCAGGGGCAGGCGTCGGTTGCTTGAGGAGAACCACAGAGTGTGACCGGCCTCCACCGGAGTCACTGCTTCCCACTGCTGTCCTGAGGCATCCTGGGAAGAATTTGCCTGAGCCAGTCCAGAAATGGCCGTGTGTGGAGACATCATGCCGCAGTCAAACCGCATTTCCCGCCATCAGGCTTTCATTATCTCGAGGATGGTACCCGTGAAGAGTAAGTCAAAGTGGACCGACATTTATTTTGTCACATTGAGGAAAGAGGGGTGCTTCTCTTTAAATTTGTGGCTCTTTATCTTTTTCTTTCTTTCTTTCTTTTTGTGGGGGGTACTGGGTATTGAAACCAGGGGTGCTTTACCAGTGAACCACAACCCCAGCCTTTTAAAAAAAGGTTTTTTTAGAGACAGGGTCTCACTGCGTTGCTTAGGGCCTCACTAAGTGGCTGAGGCTGGTTTTGAACTCACAATCCTCCTGCCTCAGCCTCCTGAGCCGCTGGGATTACAGGCAAGTACCATCACATCTGTTGTGGTTCTTCTTGGTAAAGCAAATTGAAACAAATCACATATTGATGAACTAGGTCTAGAAAAGAGCGACAGAATGCACTAGAGTAGAAGATAAAGTAATAATAAGACTGTTTATATTTATATACTGATAAAAATCTGTTTTAAAGATCTTAGCTGAGGGATCTATAAAAACTTTTCTGATAGTTCATTAATCTTATAGATTAACATATAAAAAAACTGACCATTTTTAGTCAGTACACAAATCCATGAATGATAACACACACACACACACACACACACACACACACATATATATATATATATGGATTCTTCTAATATAATTAGAATATTCTTCTAATCTATAGATTCTTCTAACCACTACCATGATTAAGGTACTGAACAGCTCCATTACTCTAAGAGATCCTTTCATAGTCAGACCTTCTCCTGAGCTTTAACTCATTTCAATCTTTTCTTTAAAATTTTTTATTTGTTATTTTTAGTTTTACAGGTCAGTAGGATGAATGTGTTTCTACTTGACATGTTATACAAACATGGAATCCAACCTCCCATTCTTGTGGTTGGACACGATGTGGAGTTTCACTGGTGGTGTGTTCATATATGAACACAGGAAAATTATGTTCCATTCACTCTACTGTCTGTCCTATTCCCATCCCCCTTCCCTTCTCCCCACTCACTCCCACTCAATTAGTGAACCCCCACTCCCCCAGCACCTGCATATAAAGAGAACATTTGTCCTTTGGTTTTTTTGGGAATTGGCTTATCTCATTTAGCGGGATAGTCTCCAATTTCCATCCATTTACCCGCAAATGCCATAATTTCATTCTTCTTTATGCCTGAGTAATATTCCATTGGGCATATATACCACAGTTTCTTTATGCATTCTTCTGAGTGGATTATTTACTTATTTTGTAGATGGAAGGCCAATTGTTTCAGCACCATTTGCTGGAGAGACTTTTCTTTCTCCATCGAATTGCCTAGGAACGTTAGTCAAAAACCAATTAGCTATATTTCTGCTTGTCTATTTTTGGACTCTCTGTTCTGTGGAGATGAGATTGTTCTGGTTCTTCCTGAGCTGAGTGATACTGTTGTTATATCATCGGAATTTTGAATATTGTATTATGAGATTCTGGCTCTTATTTGAACCCCATGAAGAAGGCTGATTGATGGTTTTGCTTGAACAGTCATTGAAACCAAAAGTTCCAGTGCACCATTGGGGGATGTGGTTTTCATGTATAGTCCATTTTCTTTTTTTTAAAATTTTATTTATTTTTTAGGTGTAGATGGACACAACACAATGCCTTTATTTTTAGGTGGTGCTGAGGATCGAACCCCAGTCCCGCCCATGCTAGAGGATCACTCTACTGCTGAGCCACAATCCCAGCGCCCACCCCCCCCCACCCCCAGCCGCCATGTCTAGTCCATTTTCAAGGCCTTACGCTGCTGTTCAGATCATGGTGTGTCAGCCAGCAGCCCGTCTGGGACTGGGGGGTTGGCTGTGGTCATTGTTTGGAATTCTATCTGTGCATGAGTCCTGTGTGAGTGGAATCCAGGAATTCAAAACACAACTTTCTGGGTTCATTTTTTCCAAGCACCCTCTTCTCCAGGATCACCCCAGGACTTCCTGGCTCCCCAGGGTGCTCGCTCCTCTGTCTTCCATTCAGCAGACTAGAGTCACACGTCTCACTCGGCTGCACGTTGCCTGTGATGATGGCCTTCTTTAGACCATGAGTGGAAAGAGAGCAACAAGCATACCGTAATGGGGTCCCCCTTCCACATACTTCTGGAGGCAACCTCTTTGACCAGAGTTTTAGGTGGGTCGTTGGAGCTTGTGTACAAGAGAATGGAGAAGAGAGAAAAGAAAAAACAGGGGAATTCACTCCCTGGAACCTTTAGGAATGCCATTTCCCACTCCTCCTGATAGAACCAAACAACTAGCTCCCACGAGGGACGCCCTCTGTCCCTGACGACCAGTTTCTCAGTTTCAGGATTCCTTGAACCTGGGGAGGGGATTCCAGAGAAAAAGAGGTGAACATTTTCCCATTCTCTAAGGCAACCCCACAAGGCCCTGAAACAAGCTTTCATCGAATAGCGTGGCTCTCGGACCTGAATATCACTATGTCCTTTGGGGAGAAAGATAATTTGTGATGATCAGTTAATGGACTAAGGATTTCCCAAGGTGATATTGGAATATGATGTTACAATATGCTTGCTGGAATACTTCAAAAATCTCTTCAACTCTGATTAAACAAATGGTATCAATCATATAGGAAAAACAATATGAACATTTGAGTCTTTTCTTCTATTAAAATAATAAGATGATTTATCAGTATCCTCCAAAATGACCGGAAAGGTTTTATTTTTATTTGTATATTTTAAATATTTTATTGGTGTATTGTAATTTTACATAATAGTGAAATATCATGATATATTTGTACCTGTCCATAATATAATGAGATTGATTTCATTCCCAGTACCTCTCCTTTCCCCTCCCTCCTCTCTTCCCCAAGTCCTCTTCTTCTACTCTATTGATCTCTCCTCAATTTTCATGGAGACCCCCCACCCTCTTTTTTTAAATATTTTCTCTCTAGCTTCCATATGTGAGAAAAAAAAGCATAACACTTGACTTCCTAATCTAGTTTACTTGGCTTAACATGATGCTCTCCAATTCCATCCATTTTCCTGCAAATGACATGACTAACATACCCAGTTTACACCTGGATGAGGTATCAGTGAGTCAAGTGTATTGAAATCACCCAGTGTACTTGTATTGGTATATATCTGAGGCTTCCTGACAAGTAAGTTTATTTTATATAATTAGGTGCACCAGTATTGAGAGCACACAGCTTTACTATCATTATATCTTCTTGTTTAATTCTTCCCTTTACCAGTTTGTAATGACCTTTTATTTCTCTTCTGATTAATGTTGAATTGAAGTTTTCTTTGTCAGGTATGAGACTACCTACACTTGCTTTCTTTCAGATTCAATTTGCTTGAATCATTTTCTATCCTTTTTCTTTCAGACTAGATTTATTCGCCTGTGAGTTATTCTAAAAAACTAAAGTTGGCTCTTGTTTCTTGAACAATTCTTCCAGTCTATGTCTTTTAATTGCATAGTTGAGACCAGTTACGTTCAATGTTATTAAAGAGAAATGTTGATTGTTTCCTTCTATTTCAATTTAAATCTAATATTTAATTTGATCCTAATTCTTATTTTTAAGTGGTCTTCTAATAACAGTTATTGTTTCCCAAGATTTTCTGTTTATTTTCATCTTCTATATACACACAGAATTTCTTTAGGTGTCTTCTGCCATACTGGCTTACTGGTAATGAATTCTTTTAGTTTATCTACCTTGGAAATGTTCTATTCCTACTTTAATTCTGAAGGATAGTTTTGTTGGGTATAGCAATCTTCATGCTAGTTATTTTTTTTTTTTCAGGGCTTGATTTCTTCTAAGAAATCATATGCTATTTTGATTGCTTCCTTTTAAATGTGATCTGTTGTTTCTAAAATCTTTCAGACTTCTATAATTATTTGGTATATTTGGCACTTAATTATAATGCATTGTGAAGAAGTTCTTTTTTGGTCTTGTCTGTTTGGGGTTCTAATGTTTCCTGAATCTGGATGTCCATCTCATTTTCAAAGTTTAGAAAAGTTTCTGCTGTTATTTCACTGAACACATTACCTGTATTTGCCTGTATCTCCCTCCTTCCTTGTTGACAATAATTACTGATTTATTTCTTAATGGGTAAATTCTTGTTCCAAAATTTTTGTTATATTCTGATCTCTAGTTTCTTGTATTCTTTTTTTCTTCATTGCTTTCTGGGTGTTCAATTTCATATATCTTGCTTCAAGGGTGCAGATTCTATCTTCTACATGATCTAATCTTTTATGAGTTTTTTTTTGTTTATTGAGTTTTTAATTTCTAGTACTTCTGATTGATTCTTTCTCAGAACCTCTTTTTATTGAGAAAATGTATCTACATTTTCTCCCTTAGTTCATTTCTTAGATTTTCATTTAGTTGGTTAATTATTTCAACAAGCAGGTTTTAAAATTATTTATCCAGTGTTTCCTTTCCTTTCATGCCCATGGGGTTGAATATTGGAGTGTTATCAACTTTGGGGGACACCGTATTCCCTTGTTTTCTCATATTCCCTTTATTACTATAGATTTTTGTGCATCTACTGGGATGATTCTCTCCTGTACTGTTCTATGAGGGAGTTTTTACTGAGATTCCTTCTCTTTACTATGTGTCCTGGGCTGTTTATATATTAAGGTGTCAAACTCCCACCTAACATGATCATGCTGCTGTGTTTCATCCTAGGACTGCCTTGAGAGGAGAGGACCAAGTACCTGTGACCACTTCAGAACCAAGCCCATACAACTTTAAAAATATTGAAAATATTCTCCACAACTGCACTAACCCAAAAGTGGAAAGGGGAGTAATGTTCCAGACAGGGCTGAGAAATTAGATATTAAATAAAGTAGAATACTATTCAACTATATAGGTGAAAGGTTAATAAAACAGGTACTTGTCACTCCCTGTTTTTCTGTATGCTTAACAAAAACTATTGAAATCTTGAGAACTGTTTGCTAATCTTGTTCCCAGAATGTACTGTCCCCAACTGCCAAATTGCAGAATGTATTCCCTCACCCGGTTGCAGGCAAACCGCCCACTCGCCCTGAGCCGTCAATGAACTTCCCTCCCTGCCCTCTCCAAGGAAAGTATATGAGCTCTGCTTAAGCTGTTCTCGGGGCTCTCTGCTCTATTCAAGTGAGCTCTGAGCCCCAGCATGCTGGACCCCCAATAAACCCTTTGCTGTTGCATGAGACAGTCTCTTGGTGGTCTCTTCCTCCGACGCTCGCCCGACCTTTACATAGGGAGTGAAAAACGAAAAAAATGATGGTACAGGAGCAGACCATGCAAGAAGAAAAAGACCAGAGAAGAAAAAGTATAAACATGAACAAGGAGAAAAAATGAAAAGAAGACACTAAAATAAAAATATAAAATTTTGTTAAGGTAGATAGTGTCAAGTAATAGAGGGAGACATCAAGTCAATACAGAAGATAATATCTGTGAAACAAGAAACTGATATTAGAGTTTTAGTTTCTCCATCGTAAGCTATGAGAGAGGGGGGAGGGTTAGGTGGGTTGAGATTTATTACTGAGCCTTGCAGATTTGAATCTTAGCAAGTTTGGGGAGGAGTAGTAAATTCTCTTATCTCCTTAGCTTTTTTTGTAAGTTTCTCTGGGCATGGGGGTAGCATCCTTACCAATCCACCTCTGAAGCAAATCTAGGAGGCTCCTTCCATTCTTTGGGGGTGTCCAGACCCTAATAGCTCTCTGGAGGGGTTAGTTCTCTGATTGTTTTTGATGAAACAACCCAGGATGGCCTGTTGGCCTACTGACAGGTGTCTCCTTGCTGGGAATGCAGTCTTGTGTGCCTACCTACAATAATGCTTTGTGTGCGTGGAGTAGAGTTCTAGGTTAACAGATCACGGAACTCATGGCAGAGTTCCAGGAACAAAGTGGTCATTGATCCGGGTGGCTCATAGGAGGGATGGGTGGCCACCCGTGGCTGGAACATGTGTGTCAGTGAGCCGTCATCTGGACCCTCATTTTGATGAGGCCAGCAGCCCTGGAACATGTGTCCGTGCACTGCCTGTGTGGTTTGTGTGGCAATTGCTGGGACATGGATGGCTTCTGATGGCTACTGGGGCCCACTTTGGGGGTCCCGGAGTTGGTGGTTTGCACAGTGCTGCTGGGACTGCAGTTCCCATATGTGTGGCCAGGAGCTGGGGCATTTGCTGTTCCGAAGATGCTACACTCCCCGAGTGAATTATTCTCTGTCTTCTTCCATCCCACTGCCCTTGTTGATGGTGGGAGAAGGGGCTTGGCAACCTTCTGCCCAGCAGTGATTCCTTTATAAAAATTACTTGGACAGCTAGTTTCAGCTAGGTGCTAGTTGCTAGTTACTGCTGCTAGTTGCTATGGGTCGGTGTGATGAACCCATGCAGACTTATTTATTCATTGAATGTTAGTGCTGGGATTGAACCCAGGGGCACTTTACAACAGAACTACATTCCAGTCCTTTTTATTTTTTTGTTTTGAAACAGGAACTTGCTCAGTGGCTGAGGCTGGTCTGGAACTTGCAATCTTCCTGCCTCAGCCTCAGGCCTGGGATTGTGGATGTGCACCACCACACTCAGCAAAACCATATAGATTTAATTCTTTCTAGCTAAGTAGGTTTGGCTGTGGCTGCTCCAGGATTTCCAAGTCCCTCCAAGTCTCTGACTGTCCAGCTCATTGTGTCTTAGCTCATTCCCTCCGTCACCTGCCCGCCCCCTCTGACCAGCTCTCATTCCATCCCAGACTGCAGAGGAGTCATGATTTGCTGTCCAGGTCCACTCCACCATCTTGCCTCCTTAGAGAGTCCATAATTTAAAGAATCACTATTAACTCAAAGAGTTAGACATATTTGATCTGTGCAGATCACTGCAATAATTAACTTTATTGATGCTGAAATCGAACACTTGAGTCAGTTCCCTTACATTTTTTTCTTTTCACATTTGGCAAAGTTTTAATTCAAGAACGTAATTTCCACTGTCTTATAACATTCTGTTCTTCTTCAAATTCCAAAGGTTGCATAACAGAAGTATTATTAAATGAAACCCTTAGGTTTTCCTTTTAAAGTAAACCTTTGCCATTTTTTTTCCCTTGTACTTACTCCGTAGTACTCTTTTTACAGTTTTCCTTTTTATTTGTATTATTATTTTTATTTATAAATTAACTCAGTAAAAAGTGTACTTACTGAAAAGCTTCACACTATTGGGCGTACAAAGAAAACATCCCATTTTTAAGAATTTAGAGAAATGCTTACCATCAATCAGAACTGGAAACGAGATAAACGCCCAGATGCGATGGCGCACACCTGTCATCCTACCCACTTGGCAGGTGGAGGCAGGAGGGTCACCGGTTCAAGCTCACCTGGGTAACTTAGTGAGATACTGTCTCAAAATAAAAATTGAAAAGGATTGAGGATGTAACTCAGTGGTACCAGTGGCCCCTGGATTTAATACCCCCAAACAATATAAAACACTTTTTCTGTTAAATCTAATTTTAAAAAGCAGAAAAATATGTATAAATGAAAAGAACAAAAAAGAAAAATACAGAGGCCAATGAATTCTTTTCACCTTTGGGGGCCAAAACCATATTCCAGGCTGATTCATACGGTCTAACCCCAACCCCAGGGTGGTTTCTGTTGTCACCACAGTGTTGTTCCACCAGGAAAGGAGCCCACATCTTGGTCTGCCTGCTGACACACTGCCCTGCTCTGGCCAAGCCACTTCATCTCCAGGACCTCAGTTTCCCTTCTAAAGGGTCAGATCTGAACAGTGGTAAAGTCCTGAGATTTAGTTTCACATAATTTATTGTTTTTCTAATTTTTGTATTGGTGTATTATAATCATGCATAATGGTGGGATTTATTGCTACATATTCAGGCATGCCACAATATATCCATACAATTTGGCCAATATTGTTCCCCAGTATTTCCCCTGTCCCTAGCCTCCGCCCTCTTCCTCTCCCTTTCCCCTACCCCACTGATCTCTCTTCAATTTTCATGACCCCCCCCCACACACACTTGTCTTTTCCTTTCTTGTCTCTGTCTTCCACATATAAGAGAAAACATATGACCCTCGACTTTCTGAGTTTGCCTTATTTCACTTAACGTAATATTCTCAAGTGCCATCTATTTTCCTGCAAATGACCCAGTTTCATTTTTCTTTATCACTGAATAAAACTCCATTGTGTATGTTTACCACAGTTTCTTTGTCCAGTCATCCATTGACAGATACCTAGGCTGGTTCCATAGTTTGGCTATGGTGAATGGTGCTGCTGTAAACATGGTTTCTATCGTTTTTGCATACTGACTAATTCTTCAGGAGAAATACCTGGGAGTGGTAGAGCTGGGTTATATGATGGTTCCATTCCTTGCCATTTGAGAATCCTCCATTCAGATTTCCATAGCGATCATAGTAATTCACAATCCCACTCATGGTGTACAAGTGTTCCTTTTCTCCACATCCTCGCCAACATTTATTATTATTTGTATTCCTGATGATTGCCATTCTGACTGGAGATGACATCTCAGTGTAGTTTTGATTTGCATTTCCCTACCTGCTAATGATGCTGAACATTTTTTTTCATATATTTGTTGACCATTTGTATTTCTGCTTTTGAGAAGTATCTGTTTAGTTCATTTGCTCATTTATTACTTGGTTTATTTGGGGGGTTTTTGATGTTAAGTTTTTAGAATTTTTTATATATTCTGAATATTATTCCTATGTCAACGTAGCTAGCAAAGACTTTCTCTCATTCCATAGGTTCTCTCTTCACATTCTCAGTCATTTCCTTTGCTGCTCAGAAGCTTTAAAATTTGATTCCATCCATCCCATTTACAACTCCTGGCATTATTTCCTGAACTTTAGGGGTCCTATTGGGAAAGTCACTGCCTGAACGTTGGAGTGCTGACCCTACATTTTCTTCTAGAAATTGCATTATTTCTAGTTTAACTTCTAGGTCTTTGATTCATTTTGAGTTTGATTTTTGTGCAGAGTGAGAGATAAGGGTCTAATCTCATTCTTCTATAGATGGATAACCAGGTTTCCCAGCACAATTTGTTAAAAAGACTGTCTTTTGGGGGCTGGGGGTGTGGCACAAGTGGTAGCGCGCTCGCCTGGCATGCGTGCGGCCCGGGTTCGATTCTCAGCACCACATACCAACAAAGATGTTGTGTCCGCCGAGAACTAAAA